CTGTACAATGTTCTACAAGAAAGGCTGTGATATAGCAACGCAGATGCATTGAGTCGACTTCCCATGGAAGATTTCTGGTGTCCCCCGCCGTGATGTTGCTGGAATATTTCTTAAAGCGGCGTAAAAATCCAAACTCAGTCAGTCAGTCCCATGGAAGATACAGAAGAGAGCTTGGTAGTGAGTGAAATTGTTTTGTTTTACGCCGCACTGAGCAATATTCCAGCTATATGGCGGCCGTCCGTAAATAATCGAGTCTGGGCCAGACAATCCAGTGATCAACAGCATGAACATCGATATTCGCCCTTTATCAGCACTATAAATGTACCCTTTGGTTTCCCCAAGTGTAAACGTCTAAGAGACTCATTTAGTCATGTTTTCCTCCCACAGCATAACCCGTCGTAATAAAACGTTCTGTTCAAAACGGCGTCAAAGAACAACACAAAACATCTATTGAATAAAATGCAACGCAAAGTTAAACGATGACTCCTTTTTATAAACATGAACAGCTTTGGTTTCGCTGACCTGCACAATTAATCGATCGATTTTGGTGAACAACTTTATTCGTACTTCTGTGCGCTGATAAAGTTTAACCGAAGCAGTACTGTCAAGGCCACGATCACCATCTGTTCACAAATGCATCAGGGTGTGATGTTATGATTCAGTATAAACACTATATATACAGATGCATGGTTACTTTCAGTGTAAGATACTCCATTACAAGGGCCACTAACTCTAGATAGCGCTGCTCTGCTGGCGACAGACATCAACAGAGCTCCCATTGTTTTATATTTACACACGTCAGTATCTTTGAGGAACCGTATTTGTGCTTAACAACCCTGCAAATATGGGTGGTTTCCTCCGGTGTGTGATTTTAGCGATGACGCTAAGTATATTTGTCCGCCATCGCGTGTCATCGTCTTGGGTGCCGTTAGAAGACTCCGTAAGGGCGAACCAAGATGGACGTCATTGGCATCAGTATGGACGTGAAGAGCTGCAGGCGCTGAAGGAAACCGCGTTGGAGTTGAAAGGACTTAGAGACTTGCCCCCGGAATGTGCATCAGACAAGGGGAATAATTCAAATTCAGGATCAAAAGTTACTAGGAAACGAGGTAAGCGGGGAGGAGTCCGCCGACGAGTTCGGGCGCGCAAATCAAGACCACCTCTTCCAACTTTTCTATTATCAAACGTGAGGTCTCTTAAGAATAAACTTGACGAACTTTCGGCAAGCACAAAATATTTGTACGAATTCAGAGACAGTTGCATTCTATGTTTCACGGAGACATGGCTATCATGTGAGAGACAGTATATGTTCACCAAACATCGAACTTCTATCAGTGTCTATGCGGCCTACTTATCTACCACGTGAATTCGGTCAGATCTTTGCTGTGAGTGTCTACATACCACCCAGTGCCGATAACAAACAAGCAGCTGATGTAGTTCATAATCATGTTCAATCCCTAGAGCTGATTTGTCCTGATGCGCCGAAATTCATACTTGGAGATTTTAATGGATGTACCCTGAAGTCTGTGCTCCCCACCTACAATCAGTATGTAACATGTTGTACACGGAAAGACAAGATCCTTGACTTGTGTTATAGTAACATCAAGAACGCCTACAAATCATATAGTAAACCACCCCTAGGAGCTTTGGACCATAATTCTGTGTATTTGCTGCCCACATATCGTCAAAAGTTAAAACGGAGAGGCTAATGTTAAGACTGTCAAATCATGGAACAGAGAATCTATTGAAACCCAACAAGGATGTTTTGCATGTACAGATTGGGACATATTCTATGATGCAGAACAAACACTAGAAGGAATGTGTGACGTCATTACTGATTATATAAATTTTTGTGTCAACAAATTATAATACCAGAAAAAGATATCAGAATTTTCCCAAACAACAAGCCCTGGATCACAAAAAGAAATGAAATCTTTATTAAACGAAAAGAAACGAGCATACATGAAGAAAGATAGAATAAAACTCAAATACATACAGAAGGACATCAATCTTAAAGCTCGTGAGTGTAAACTAGCGTACAAAGAGAAAGTTGAGAGACAGTTTCAGCAAAGCAATCTGCAACAAGTCTGGCAAGGCGTGAACACGATGATTGGCAAGAGCAGGCGACGACAGACAAACAGCGCCGGGGATAATAAAACCTTTGCTGAGGACCTCAACACTTTCTACAGCCGCTTTGATTATCACAACTTTACCAATGGGAGAGCTCAAGTTAGTGAAGCCGTACAGGATAGTGAAAGTCGTATCCATATATCAGAAGCTGACGTCATTCAAAGCTTCTCCATAATTAACATCAGTAAAGCAAAAGGACCTGACAACCTTGACGGCATTGTGTTGAAGGAGTGCAGACTTCAACTGTGTACAGTTTTCACTAGATTGTTTCAATTCTCATTGAATACACACGTTATTCCTTCGGTCTGGAAAACATCAGAAATTGTACCAGTTCCTAAAAAAGACACAACCTAAAGAACTAAACGACTACAGGCTAGTTGCTCTCACATCTATAGCAATGAAGTCGCTGAAACGCATCTTGTTGATACATCTCCGTCAGGAAGTTGCTGACATACTGGACCGGCTTCAGTTCGCCTACAGGTCAAGGATAGGAGTTGTTGATGCCACACTGTCACTCCTTAATAATGTCTATAATCATCTAGAGACACCTAGGTCATACATCAGGATCCTCTTCGTTGACTTTTCATCTGCGTTTAACACTATCCAGCCACATATCATGATACAGAAACTGTTAGACATTGGCGTTAACTCATACTTCATCAAGTGGATCGAAAACTGTCTTGTGGACAGACAGCAGTACGTGAAAGTTAACGGGCTGTATCGAGTAAACGGACCACCAACACTGGTGCACCACAAGGCTGTGTAATATCTCCTGTTCTTTCCACCCTCTACACTAATGATTGTGCAAGCTCGAATTCAACCTATTCAACTGTAAAGTTCGCAGATGATGCAGCAATTGTCGGCAAACTGAACGACACTGATTCTTAAGAACTGTATAAAGAGGACATTAATCATTTTACGACTTGGTGCGCAGAAAACAACTTAATCTTAAATGTCAAATAAATAAAGGAACTGATAACTGACGTTCGAAGTAAACCCACAGAAATGCTTCCAGTGATAATCAACGGTGAATGTGTTGAGACAGTGTCGGAGTATAAGTATCTGGGAAACTTCATTGACTCTAAGCTGAACTGGAACTCTAACACTGAAGCCCTATACAAAAAGTGCCAACAACGTCTTCATCTCATGCGTAAACAGATCTTTTCATGTTAACCCATCTGTGGTGTCATCTTTTTATGCAGCATTTATTCAGAGTATTTTAACATTTTCCTTCCATTGTTGGTACGAGAGTCTCTCTCAGATCATCTCAAATCTAAAAGACAAAATTGTTAACACTGCAAGAAAAATCGCTGGAGTCATATTTGAATGTTTATCATCAATATATGAGCGGCAAATCGTGAATCAAGCTGTCAAAATTATATCTGACCGTACTCACTACTTAAATTCGGAATACAACCTCCTCCCTTCAGGCCGCCGCTACAAAGTTCCAATTGTGCAAAATTAAGAGAGCCCGTACATCCTTTATTCCAAGTATCATATCTCTCTTAAACAAATGTGAAGATGCCTAAATCAAAGAATTTATATAAATATGTTTGGTATCTCTGCTGATGGAACACAAATTCCTGTAAAAGGAATTAAAGTATTATTCTATTCTATTCTATTCTGTTCTGTTCTAAACCACGAGCCTTCCCAAATATGTGTATAATAGCTTATAGCATTCTTACCCAGTGTTTTTTCTATTCATATAGAAATGACTATATAAATCTATTAAAGTTAAAACTTTTGCGGTAGTGAATCACACCATTTAAAAACATAATTCAATTAAAATATTTCATTTGAATTTTCTGTTCCTCGATGTTTGTTTGTTTTGTTTGTTCGTTTTTTCAAGGGTAGACATGTTTTTCATCCTTTCAGCAATTCTTTATTCAATGAGTAATATCATTCATCGTTAAAGTTCACATAAACACATATCATACTAGCCTTTGTACAGCGCTAATGTCCAGATCAGCTGCTCAAAGCCGCTTTGTTTTTCCCTCGATTATTGGATGTCAGTCTCAAACGAGCACATCGTATTATCAATCTCAACTCTTTGGGGACCATACAGGTCATTGGCTCCCTCCCTCTGCAAGCAGTCTGCGTTCTGCTGTTTATTTTTGTTGAAAGTTACATAGACAGATTCTTTAATACAAATGCACAAAACCGGTGATTTACAATGTGAATACGTTGTCTGACAAAACATCCACTTGCACAGTTTGAGATTGATTGGGTCATTGGATGAAGAGATATTTACAAAAACCGGGTCCACATGCATTTCATGCCAAACTATAGGTGTTGTGACACAAAGTTGACTCCAAGGTTTTTACACTCGGTCACAGGTGGGCACGAACCCGACACCTCAGCCTTGCTGGATCACTATCCTGGTGCCTTAGACAGCTCGCCCACCACGCCCACAAATATACGGTTGAGCCTGTTGGTTCATTCACATACACAAATATACACTGGAGCCACCACTGAAATTGTCCGAATTAGAAAATGTCCGTTATTAGCGAGGTGATTTAGTATACCTTTGAGACCAGTAACGGGAATTATCCAGTTGGGAGGGTTTTCATAGTAACAAGTATCCAGATAATACGGTGTACACTGTGGCACCACATATATCCCATGGTAGCGTCACCATTTAAACGGCCTGCATTAACAAATGTCCGGATTAATAAATCGCAGAGTAAAATTTATTTGAAAACATATGTTCGCCATCAACATTTTAGCGGTGTTCCCGAACAAGCAAGCATCCAGATTAACGATACACTGAATACCAAATGGTTCGTCCAGAAGGAAGGGTTTCCGTATCAGCAAGTGTCCGGATTGACGAGACACTGAGTAATGTCCCTGGATATACATACATGCCCCGCCAACGGGAATCGTCCAGAAGGTAGGGTTTCCAGATTAACTGGACTCGGACTCCCATGGTTGCACTGTACACTGATTAACTAACAAGAGGTTCAGTTCCCTAACACAAACATCGACTTTATTTAAACTTCCAAGGCCTCTCTTTCCGGTAGGGTTGTAGTAAGTGGTGTCTCTCCAACTGAACGTTCTGACCTCGCACAGATCATCAGTAAACCAAGTATGGATGCCAGAAGAAAACACGAGGCTGAAATAGAAACAAATCATTATAAGAGAGCTCTTGTAGACGGAGCGCCAAGGAAGTATGTCGAACTGGCTTGGGAGAGATTATGAAAGGAGAGCGTTGTGTCGAACTAACCATCAATTTCAGATGGTGGAATGTCGAGGGATGTGCTGGACAGAAAGAACTGACACTGGGTCAGTTTCACAGTCAATATCGAATATGCCACCATGATATAAGGTAGCAGAGATGACAAGGACGGGGCGTCAGGGTAGTATATGTGGAGCTAGTGCGAAGAAAATTGAAAAGGGGCTATTTTGGTGTCGAGCCAGCCATCATGTCGAAATCAATACCGAATAGGCGTCATTACGACAAGGTGAGGGATTAGCCTGAAATTCGATATTGATGCATTGTCAAAAAAGAGAGGAGAGGTGTGGATTCAATTGGTTTGATTTCAAAATAATGTAAAGTCAACGAAGGACCTATACGCACAGTAGAGATTACTGTAGAGGATACAGTGTGGATATAGAGACGTCAAGTCATAGTCAGTCCAGAGAGTCGATTGAAACATGGTACGCTTACAGGCAAACTGTATTCCTTTGCGTCCACATACGTGTTTGTCATGACCCGGAGAGCTCGGTTAAAGAGATGGCTTCGACCTAGCATCAACTAATACTGGATTGCTATTGGTGGAGCATCGACACAGGTTTAGTATTGTGACTGATTTAGTATTGATACAGTGGAGTGAGTGAGTATGGTTTTGCGCCCCTTTTAGGAATATTCCAGCAACATCGCGGCATGGGAAACCAGAAATGGGCTTCACCCATTGAACCCATGGAGGGAAATGGAACCGGGCCTTCGGCGTGACGAGTAAACACTTTAACAACTAAAGTACTGTCGGAAATAGAAAAAACTATCTTTAGGCTGTCACTCTGTATCCCTAAAATTTTCACAATTGCAAACAGCATATGTCGAAATAACCCACATCGGACTAACTGGGCGTTCAGTGGGATGCGTAATAGCATATCCAGAAAAGCATCTTTACTCGTAAAATCGGGCAAAACTTAGAAAAAAAATACGTATGGCTGCTGAAAAACAATACATCAGACTATAGATGGGAATTAGGTCGCTCAGCCGGGTATGACGACGGACCGTCGACTCACCTGGCATGTGCTGTGCTACAGCCTACAGGCAAAGGGTCATCTCAAAGATATTTTATGCTTTTATGTGTTTAATGGTGAGTGAGTTTAGTTTTACGCCGCACTCAGCAATATTCCAGCTACATGGCGGCGGTCTGTAAATAATCGAGTCTGGACCTGACAATCCAGTGATCAACAGCATGAGCATCGATCTGCGCAATTGGGAACCGATGACATGTGTCAACCAACTCAGTGAGCCTGACCACCCGATCCCGTTAGTCGCCTCTTACGACAAGCATGGGTTACTGAAGATCAATATTCTAACTCCGACCTTCACGGGTCTGTGTGTTGAATATGTTTTATCTATTGATTAACACCTTACGAGTCTTTCTTTCATACAGTTTATGTTGTGATATGTAAAAGAGTATGATACCCATCGTATGAAATGTCTCAATATATATAGGTGGCATGACCACCAAAAGATCGACTGGATTGGATATTATTTGTAAATTGTTACTACATGCCGTTTTCTTCCCCAGTTTAATTCGCCTGAAGGGTTATTTTATCTTAGCTGATATCTCTATTCCCCCAGCCCGACCTCAACCACTGTCTGCGACACCCGCCCTGGTTTTACTTTTGAGACGACCCCTCCTACCTGTTTCTTTTTATGGTGATAGTGAGCCTCCGTGGTAGCTACATCCTTAATAGTTTCAGTGTTAAAGTTATTATTTTTTATGTCAGCTATCGTTTATAATGAAACTAAGTTTAATTAAATAATGGGCATTTAAAAGGTGTCCTTTGCAATACAATATCATCGCACACTAATTTGCATAAAGCCATGGTCCGTTCCAAATAAGTCACTTTAGACTTAGAAAAAAAAACACATTGCTCATTTCTGCACTAATCTCTCCTCAGTAAAATCTTTTTTGATTTCCTGACAGTACTTTAGGCTACCCACCATCTCTTGTTACAGTGGAAGGGACGAGTAGACGTCTGTAACTATTTCTATGTAGACAGAGTGATGGGCCACTGGGAGAACCAGCAAGGTCAGAGGTATGATCTCGTAAGAGAATGTGGATTTGAATGTGGAGTGGTTTCACCTACTGGCTGCGAGACTGTCCATGCAGAATACTATTCGAGATAAGTGGAACGTTCTGATAGAATATTCGAATAGACGATGTGTCCATATGCTCGTAAGGAGTGAGTTGATTTGAACACAGCCTGAACGGTATTTAAATTAATTCACGGCACAGATGCAGGGTCAGTCGGATGCGAGGACGTGACCACAGGTGAACTGAGTTTCAGGAGTAATTAAACGTACGGACAGTATGCGTACACAGGCAGGCATGGTGGGGTTAGATAGGGCAACAGATTAGGTCACCTACTGTACCCACATACAATGTATACTCTTTAAAAAGTAGGAGAAATTCATTTTTAATTTACGATTGAAAGAATTGGGAGATATATCGGCGTCAATCAATATTCAATGATATTAATGAAGGTTTTGAGAGTGCATCACCACGTGCACTTCCTTATGATCATAGTTGTTTGTACAGTAATCGCTCTTTAAAGATGGTTGGTGGATGACGTGCAATTTGCATGTGGACGATTTTCATTTTCAAAGAAAAAGACGACTAGAAACAAGCACTAACAATGTGAGATGCAAGATGATTATCAAAATTAATTATCAACCTTGAAAATCGTCAAAGAAGAATGACACACCATGCACGTGTATGGGGGTACTGCGTTGTGCACGTGCATCCCATGCGTTGTTTGTAGTGGCGGTGATAAAGAGCAATGTTGGATGGTTCATAACAAGACAGTCTTTGAAAAGTTTCTTTTATGCTTATACAGCCTATCCAGATTGAAAGTTCAGGTCCCCTTCTTTTTGAAGAGTGTATTTGCATTATCCTCTGTCGACCTTAATGCACAAAGTCGATTGATTTTGATACCTTGAATTTCTCACCTGAAAACATGATTGCGATGTGATAATCTCCCGTCGCCTCAAGCAGAATTCCTGAAACAGTGAGTGATGTTAGACGGTTTCTGTTTTCTGGCATGGCGTTTCTGCTTACTGTGAGATGAAAGAAAGGTCTGACAGATCGTAATGACATTTACCCCTACGGTGGCAGCAATGGTTCTTGGTGTGGTATAGGTGGAATGGGTTGTAACCCAAATTCATGACTAGCAATCAATTCACAGTGGACCCCAGATATCCGGAAACCTCACCTACCGAACGATATTTACATGAAATACATGTATTTTCCTGTTCTGTCAGAGGGACAGCCAGTTGCTAAGGGACCAATATTTACAGGAGTCTCCATCACAGACATCCTTAAATTACACAAAGAGGTCAATAAACTTACAGAATAGTATTTGGTCGCAGATGCACCCGACCATGGCGGGAACTTATCGGATTTGAGATTCCACAGGTACAGTTGCGAGGACGATGCAACTGATCCATTCAATGACTGATACATGTCTTTCAAGAACACATACAATACCTAGTGCTTTGAGTAGTCCACACACTTGTAGCGTGCAAACGGCACTGTTCAACTTTTGCTGGAGGCCCACGACCCCATGGCTCAGACATCTGCTTGAATCATTAGGTGCAACTCGAGCGGTAATAGCGCCTATTTCGGCAATACGACAAACTCTCGTTGACCCATATCATTCAACAATGCTCTAAAAGAATTAAAACAAAACGTATTCCAGTCTCTGACTTACCTGCAATGGGTCCACCAATGAGGAACCCTGTTCCGCTTGTAAACATCACCAACCCCATGGCTGATGCTAGATTATGTACTCCCACGATGTTATATGTTATTTGGGTTTAACAGGGACCAGGTTCCACCATTATAAAGTCCATAACAAAACGAAAATATAATCTTCAACATAGACGTTCGTGTTAGTGGGTATAGGAAGTACACAAGAACACTGGTCAGACCATTGACCCCTATGTGCAGAAGCAATGGTCCAATTTGGGGATCCGTTGCAGTAAATCCGAGGCAGATCCTGGACAAGATGCCGCCGATACCATAAAATGATACAAGTGAAGAAGCGTGTTGGAAGGTAGACCCTTGCTTCATAAAAAAGTCAGGCAGGTACAGCTTTAGGATAGAGCTTCCAATTGTGAAAATCAGGATGCTTAACAGATACAAGGAAAAGGCCATGTTTAGGAAGTGTGGTATAGAGCATGAGCGAATTTTCTTGAAGCAGGATTGGCATCTTGAAGCTAAGTTCTCTTGGCTGGTTTCTCTATCTGCCTTTTGGCTCTCGTGACTTTTGCGCTCGTGTCGGGATGGTCTCATGAGAAAACCACACACACAAGACTGAAAGGCAATTGCTCCCAGGAAGAGGAAGGCCCCTTTGAGTCCATACCCGTCCACCAGATGCTGTGTCAGAGGGGGAAGAAGAAAGGTGCCAAGTCCACAGCCAGCTATTCCTATTCCTGTGGCTAGGCTTGTCTGCTTCTTGAAGTAAAACCCGAGCAGCACCAAACACCCGGTGAGGCACAACCCTTGACCAAGTCCTAGAAACATAATTTAAATATTCAGAGTGAATAAAATTACTTGAAATTTACTTGATTTATAGTGTGATGTGTAAATAGTTGCTTCTTTATCACCGAGTGTGTGTTTTTGTTGGGTTTTTATTTTTTATTTTGGCAGTTTGAGAAAACGTATTCATGTTACGTATTAAATTTACAATCTACAATAGCACAGCTTTTATAAATTATTTGTTAACTTGATGTTTGACACTCTAATGTTCATAAAAGCAAAAATATGAAACGATAAAACATCATTTGCTTCTAAATCAGCTTGAAAAGTAATAAGTTGATAAATAGGCATTTATGTAATACTACGCTTACATTAAATTCCATACCCAACACCCGTGACCCCTGTCCTGACTCACCAGCCATCAGGGCGTATGTGAGGAAGAGCCAGCGTATGTCACCAGCGAGGCTACTGGAAGCAAATCCAACGAGGCCAAGCACACCGCTTACTATGACACAACACCGACAGTTCCATCTGTTGATGATGAAGCTGGCCACGGGACCTGAAATAAAGGAAAAGTGAAAAGAACATCAAGAATTCAACATTTATACCAGATGAAATTGGTGAAATACCAGATGAAGTTGTGAACAGAAGCATGGCAAAGAACCATGTAATAGTGACCCTCGGCAATTTCTGCTGAACGAACGTCCCTCCAAAACACTATAATTCTTGCTAATGAGTGCGCTGTTTAAATGCGACAGACTTGTTATAGCACTTTATTTTAATGTAGTACTTTATTTCATGGGATGTGTTGAAAGCTTCTTCAGCCTTGAACAGCACACTTGACAAATGTAAATATTCTTTGTGTAGCGTGAAGTTAATGCTCTTAAGAAAATACCTGAAAGAGAGAAACATGCAGGAGTAGAGAGCCAATCCACGACGTCAGTGTGACGTCATCTTGAAACGTCTCTAGAAGCGCCACGTGCATGACACCGGCAACAAAGGACAGGCCCGTGTTGAGGAAAAGAGCACAAAGTGATGCCACTACCACCACCCATGCCCATGGCTCAAGTCGTTCGGACATGTTGAAATGTCATCTGGGTCTTTCGTTTCCACTATAATGAGAGGCAGGCACATTAGGCATGAACATTCTAAATAGCTACCACGGAGACACGGGAAGCTACATACACTCATGCTCATAATGGTTGTCACACCCGGTAGATAACCAGATTTTCTCACTTTCATGCAATATATATCGTATCCAACTCAAATGTTGTATATGTATGATGAAAATGTGTGTCCAAACACGTCTCCGCAAGTGGATTTTAGTGAAGCATTAACAAAGCATGCAGCATTATATTAGAAGAATTTTCTACAAAATAAAATGCCAGCACCATTGTCACTTGTATTACGTAACCAGATAGTAGGAATTTCAAGAGTTGGCGTTTAACAACCGTGCCCAGAAGTCATGAGTTGCACGTAAGCGTCACAAGCGTACAGAGAATAAATAGGTTGCACCGAATCCTAAGTCATTAGTACCAAAATGCCTACAGACAGACCCCGAAAAACTGACGCAAGGGACAGGGTTTGCGAACTGACAGGGTTCTCTTCCGCCTTGTATGTCGACATCGACGTTTATCTGCCATGGCGTTAAGTGAGTGAGTGAGTTAAAATTTATAGTCACATCGGCAATATTTCAGCCATATTGTGACTTAAAAAGTTACAAATTAACAATAAACCATGGCGTTAAGAGAAAGACAGATTGTGCTTGTTAACTTAAGGTTAAGCAGGCAAACAGTCAACCGTAGGCTAATGGAGAGGGTGTATAACGCAAAAGATCTTTCCGTCGACCACTTCTAACAGCTCTGCATAAGTAACGTCGACTTGAGTGGGCCAATGTCATCGTAACATATTGTTACAACATTGGCGTCATGTCATTTTTCTGGTGAATCAAGATTTCTTCTACACGGGGTAGATGGAAGAAATCGAGTTCGACGATTAACTGGAGAAAGGTTTATGGAAAACTGTGTGGAAGGTTACGTTGCGGGCGGGTTGGCTCTGTTTTGGTATGGGATGGGGTTCATTAAGATGGAAAAACAACTTCGTGTTGTTCATGGCATTTTGGAAAAACATTTGATTCCATATGCACGACAAGTGTACGGCAACAACTTTCTGCTGCAAGATGACAATGCTGCTTCACATCGTGCCAGGGCCATTGGTGCTTTTCTGGAAAGGGAGAGTGTTAACAGATTGCACTGGCCTTCGAAAAGCCCAGACATGAATCAATTGAGAACATTATGGACCCTCCTGGACAGAAAAGTGCGACAGTTGGTAGTACCTCCTGTAAATTTGGATGACTTAGGCACAGCCTTGGTTCGAATCTGGAACGCTACAGGACGAGACATTGTCAGCAACCTTGTTGATAGCATGGGCGACGGATTACCTCCCTTATTGAAGCATGTGGTGGAGCTACTCGCTATTGACTATCATTTTCCTGACAACTGAATGTTCTGAGACATTTATCCTCAATATTCAAATCTGCAACAAATTGGTTATTGAATAAAAACCTAGCTTATTCACAAGTCAATCGTGTAAAGTTAGTAGTTTTGAGGGGAACATGTCTTTGGGTGGTCTTTACTAAAATATTAGCCATACAAGGTTCTTTAGATAATTATTCAATGTTAGTAGCATTGAGTTTCAATAAAGCCATTAAACAAAATAGAACGATTAACAAATGAAAACTGAAAAGCTGTTAAACACAAACACTGAGTAATCAAAGATGGGGTGACAACTATTATGAGCTTTAGTATATATAGAGATCAGTTGTATACATCAAACATACAAGGACAACGAGGGTGTACAATTTTCTAGATACATTATATAATCTCTAACACAGTCATAAGTCGGATGACAACAAGCTCAACGTCCATGGTAAATCATTTTGCTGTACAATCTATGGCAGCCTTTGTATGACATCAACATATCTTTGCAGCTTCCTGTGGAATTTGTACAAGGGTTTCCGTCCAAGCTGGAAAGTGATATTTGACTTACACCCAAAGAAGCCAACCCAAATCTGACAACGAGGGTGTACACAGTCCTAGGTCGGATAACGACAACCTCAACCTCCATGTCAACAAATCATTTTGTCGTGCAATCGATGGCAGTCTTTGTATGACATCAACACATCTATGCATCTTCCTGTTGTATTACTACAAGGGACTCCGTCCAAGTTGGAAACATATCAATGACTCACCCACACCCTGAGCAGATGACAGTGATTCAGAATAGTAGTTTATCAAAGACAGTTTGTACACACTTTTCCATGTTAACTGAACGGGGCTTCTGTTTCCTCTTCTCTATAGTATACCTAAATTGCCCCTGCCGACTTTGGTCACTCTTCTAACAGTAGTTGTCAAAAGATAGCTCTAAGACACTTCCAATGTTAAGGACACTTCCTACATTAATTAAATGCAAAAATACACCTTACGTTTCCCAAACAAGCTCGAAACAAAAGGCCGGTGGTCTTTCTTGTCTAGCCTTTTGAAAATCACGTTTCCCAATGAATGAACTATGGTAGGCCAATGCAGCAAGCAGACAAAACTAAAATTAATTTTCCCTTTCCACTTTGCCTTTGTCATTCCCCTCTCATGTAAACGTTTTGCTGTCCCGATTGGCGGAGGGTCAATGAATGTGTCCACCATTGTAATATTCAGTACAGAGGCAGACCTCCCAGTTGTACTCTCTGGGAAACAGTGACAAACCATTCTGTCTATCCCTCTACATAGTCTCAGGAAATACATTTGTTCGAAAATGTTGTCCGATGCTTTCGGAACACTTTCTCCTTTCTTGTGGTTTAGAGCCTTCAAGCATAGCTTTAGAAACCTTACCAATTACAACAATATCAAAGATGAAGCAATTATTGTTTTGGCAAATTTCCCAAAGGTCCAATTTCTAGCCAACATTAATCTGACGAGGTCTTTGTAACCATTTAATGTATTTGTCCCACAAATGCATTGTTTGCTATTCACCGTTGTGGAACAAGAGCAGATAGTGCCAGTCGCACCCTCTACTGAGTGGGGCCATTGGAGTGGAAAATGTTTTTCAGCATCACCGTAACTGACATGTTTCTATAATGAACAAATCATTGACACAGACATCAGGTTTGGGTTGGCTGCTTTGGGAGTAAGTCAATGAGTGGGAATGAGTCCAATCAACCTTCGCAAATTTCGCAGAAAGAGTAAGTTGAATCAAGCGCTGTTCAAGACGTTGTTTAGGTATACGATGGAGAACATTAGACCATGCACTGTGTGTGGTGGTGTATGATGGCATAGCCCTTCTGTTCCGTCAAAGTGGAAAGATGTGCATCATTGTAGACTTTCGTCGAACGTCAAGCACCTCTTCTTTTAACAGTGATGCTGCTCAAAAGTGACATTAAACCAGATTCATTCATTCTTAAAACTTGATATGGCCCCAGGCCACAGTCCCTTCTTTAGTTTACTAATGGAAGACGAATAGACGAATATAAGACCTATGTGAATGGCCTGTTAAGCCTGTGCAAATGGTTTGGAGTGACTTGTGGTAGCTTTATTGAAATGTATTTTTCCGAAATTCGTACTGTTGCTAGTCACGTGACACCAGACACACTCTCTCCTCACAAATGGCCTGCAGCTGAAGACACGGCTACCAGTTAGAACACTCGATGACTCCCACCTTCTGCCATTAAACCATTTTGGTGATGTCATGCTCTTGTTCAAGGTATTCTAATACAGAGTTTCTCAAATACATTTTGTAAGGTGAAGGTTTTGAAGAAGTAAAATAATTTGCTCGAATCTTTATGCACTAGGGACCATTTTCTTTATAATGTTACCAGCTAATCCCAGAAAATGCCGTGCAAATGTATTTAGAGCTGGATTATTACTGAGTGCGGCGTCAAACATAAACCAACTAACCAGAAAATCAGTATGTATTTCTTATATTGGTGTTAATGTTTTTGAGGGTCATGTGCCAAGCTGCATTCACGTGTGGCAGATTTAATTTCTTTATTTCTGGTCCGTGTGAAATAATCCTTACAGTGGTAAAAGAGTATTTCGTCGTATTGTTTGAAAACAAGATAATTGTACATAATGTTACATGAAAGCTACTTTATTCTGTTCTAAAAATACTAGGAAGGACAAGGAAATATAATTCATAATTGAGTAAAACAAACGTACTATTGCATGAATTGCGTGTAAAGGGATGTAGAACTATTCACTGACTTACCGCAAGGGTGATCCTAGGTATATGCGAGATCAGAACTTTGGCCTTTGAAAATGACCTATATATCTGTATATAACATATTCACTGCACGTACACAGGGATGTGTCTTGACGTCTTTGTCTATTGCAGCAGCATTAACTCTGACTATTTCATAGCAACATAACGAATTGTTATTGGCTGAAATCCTATCAAACCACACAGTGTTGGATGATATGAGATGTTTCACCGCTGATATGCATGTGATGTTTGCAATATAAGACAAAATGTCAACGCTGGTTTTAATGAATAATTACAGTTGAAGGAATTTGTCAATCGATATTTGATTCACCTTATGTTCAAATTCCATCTGGTCTCTCGGCGCCGTATGTGACTATTATGGTAGCTGTTTTAAGCAGTAGCTATGTTTGATAAATATGTAAAATATATTTGTTTGGCTGGTTGTTTTTCTAACTCGTAAGATAGCGAGGAGTGAGGGATGGTGGGAGAGTTGCCAGTATTTCAACTATGTGACGGCATCCTGTATTAGGGTCGTGACAGATAGAACATTGACAATGATACAGACAAAACAGCGTTGCATTGGAAACTATGAAATAATCTCTCGTACCCAAGTCAGACTCGCCCTAGAGTTTCATACATTTTGGACATCGTTAACCAGACACGCCATTTCAGGTGGGACGAGAAATGCGCCATATGTCACTATGAGCAAAAGTTCCCGGATTTTGTGTGAGATGATGAGTGAGTGAGTGAGTAAAGGAGGGAGAGTTGGAGAGAATTGCCAGTATGGTTTAACGCCAGTTTTAGCAATACTGTATGAAATACAGAATTAGTTAGTTTCAATTAACTGTTTG